ATTTGTGAGGAAAATATGGCAGGAAAGTGCTTGCGATAACTGTTTTACAGAGTCTTGTTGTTTTGAAATAAGTAAATGGTCAAACCAATCCCTTAAAGAATTGTCTTGACAAATGTCTTCAATTTCGAGATTTTGTTGAAGGAGAAATTGAAGAAAATGAAGTGATGACATAAGAAGGTCTTGGTTGTCGATTGGAGTTAACGTTACCATTTTAATTAAAGCCACTTTCTCTTCAATGGAAAAAGGGTCATGACCTAAAGAAGATTTTATTATTGTTTGGAAAGTTAACCTAATTAAACTAAGACGAAGTGTTTCATCGGAAACGGATAAGGTTTTCGAAGGTAAATCACAGAAAGTATTAGATTTGAATAATTTTTCTGAGAAAGATTTTGAAGCATCACTTACATTATTTACACAGTCTAGTATTAATCGGCGTGTAGTGAGGCTAGAATAATCGTTGTTTTTTAAGAATAAATTCAAACATAATTCTTCTATTTCTTCACAATAAACTTGACTCGTAATATTTCTTAATAACCGTAAAGCTGCTGTAATAGCAGAGTCATTCACTTCACATGAGAAGTTAATAAATCGAAGAAGAGTAATAAGATAGTTATTACTTATAACATTAATGTTGTTAGTAACTATTTCTCCTAAAATAACGAAAGCAGTAGTTTTAGTTTTATCTTCTGGAATAGTTAACAGTCTAATAGTCAGAGGAAGAAAAGATGTTAAAATTTTTTCATCATGGACTTTACTTGAAATGCAACGAATTAACCAAATTAGGGAATAAGGAATCTTTTGACAAGTTTCAAAAACTTTTAATAAACGTTGTGGTAATTGGTTTTCCATTGAATATTTAAGAATTAATGGTGAATCAAGCAAAAGATTACATAAACAACCACAACCTAACCCAATTAACTCATTTTCATTTAAAGAATCCATGAGAATTTGAAAGATGTTATATTTAATGAGTTCATTATTATAAATTGAATCAAAACCTGTTATATTTTGGATAATACCAAGAAACATTTGTTTTTGATGAATGTTCATTAAGATATATTGTTGAGTTAGTTTATAAATGACACCACACATAAACATCTCAGTAAAAGGAGGATGGTTTTGTCTTGAAGAATTGTTATAAATTTGTTCTAGAACTTTGTTAAACTGTTTTTCTTCTAATTTATTTTCATTTAATTGTTCATAGATATCACGATAACGTTCTTCGTATCCACGTGGAGATAATCTTGGAGATTCATCTTCAATAACAGAAACAATTCTTTGTGATGCTAACATTAGTTCTCTTCTTCCTTTTCTTTTTTCTGATAAAATAGCATTTCGTTGTTGACATTGTTGTTTTAAGTTATTAGAGCTTCTGAGTGAAGACATTCTTTAGTATATTTAGATCATTCCAGAAAAAAAGAGTAATAAAAAAATGTTTTATATCACATATATTAATAAAAAGAAAGTATTAATTAGTAAACTACAATAAAAGAATTTTCAAAAAGAGAAAAACATGGAATATCCCAAATTTGTAGTCATAAACTCCAATGAATATCTTGAAATTAGATATAATGAGAACCAGTGTTCAGATAGGCAAACAATTTCAAGAGGAGTATCTTCAAATGGCTAAAAGAAATGTTCTTTTTGTAGAGGAGATTCGTTCAGCTGAAAAAGAATTATATAAAAAGTCACAACGATGGGTTCAGAGTATTGCTGGTTTGTTGAGGTTATTTTGTTTAGGATACAACCCTCATTTTTTTTCTAATATTATCCTGTTAATTATGGTATTTTTAGAAGGAAAGTAAAAATACTAACAAGTATAGTTGCTGCACGTGCTGGAATTCATGTTTCAGAAACTCTAAAATCATATAACGACAAATTTGAAAATAGTGATGTTAGTAATATCCAACGTGTATGTGTTGCTTTACAACAATTTGGTGAAATAGTTTATAATTTTGTACAACTATTAGACCAATTACAATTAGATCTGGATCAATGTCTTTGTGAATCACTTCATTCATTTATTGATGAAGAGTTATCAATAGCTATAAATGGACCAAAACTTGATTCTATTAAAATAACGTCACCAACAACAAACCCAAAACTATCACAATCAGTTGCAATTACTCAAATGGCAATTAATAAATTTGAGATAGAATCTCTTAAACAATTTACTAATTCCTTTGAAACATTTGAAAATTTCACTGATGGAATGTTTACTCTTCATATATACAAAGAAAGTTATGAATTTGCCAAGAAAGAAGCAAAACAACTAGAAAATGTTTTTGAAGATAATTTAAATACAGAAATGTCTCTCTATAGAAATTATTTTGGTATTTCTATTAAAAGATTACTTGAAGAAGAAAATAGGATGAATGCACAAATTCCAATGGGATTAGAAAAGGCTCTCAAGTATTTGTATTGTAATGGTCTTGATAAAGAAGGATTGTTTAGAATAAGTTCAACACCTGATAAAGTGAACTTTATGAAAATGAAATTTTTAGCAATTAATTATTCTAACGAAGACCCTTATCTTGTAGCAAATTTGGTTAAAACATTCTTTAAAGAAATTCCAGGAAATTTAATTCCAAAAAGTTCAATCCCATCTTTCCTTGGATGGTATGGTTTGTTTTCTTGTGTCTTATTAGTTGTTGTATAGTTTATTTTTATTTTATAAATTAGTCTAATACTTATGAATATAGACCTTTTAAAACAACTAGAAAAAGGTAGTGAACCTGAAGACATAGACAAACAAGATGAAAAACAATTAGCTATTAAAATAAATGCTGACCTTCCATTGTCAATTCCATTGGAAAATTATACCTGTCTTAAATATTTAGTTGCACTTTTATATGAATTATCAAAGAATGCAAAGTCAAAAATGACACCAAGTACTATTTCTACTTGTATCTCTCCTTCTATATTCTATTGTGACCCTTCACTAAAAAATGAAAAACTTCTTGAGTATAATCTCAAGATCAACGAAATATTTTCTTTTATCATTTCACATACACCTGTAGTATTCCCATCTGCTAAACGTTGTTTTTCATCAAGACAAAAAAGTATTTTTTTACAACACCTTGACTCAACTGACTCTTCAGACTCACAATCATCTTATCATTCTTCGAATCCACAACACTCATCTTCTCCATTTATTGCTGAATCTCCGAGAACATTATCCTCAACAGTTTTTATTGATAAAAAAGCTAAAGAAAAGAAGAAAGAAAAAGAAAAAAAATCAAAAATGTCTCCTCTTCAAAACCAAGGAAGTATAATGGAAAAAAATATTTCTAATCTTCAAGAACAATCACCTACTCCACGCTTTAAATCTCCACGATTTTTTGGAAAACGAGGAACTTTATTTGAATCTTCGAGGTTGAGTTTAATGTGATATGTGTTAATTAAGTTTGTGTAGTTGTTTAAAAGAGTATTCAATTAGTTTTGTTCTTCTTTGATTTTCTACAACAAAGAATATTATAAATGATACTGACTATAAATGCTATAATTGAATAAATAGCTAATAGGATGGTGACTGGAATACTAATAACAATGAAAGATAATACTTCTTTTGGTAATAACCCACCAGCTGTTTCAAGGATTTTCATTGCTTGATTAGAAAATTCCCATGATGTTCTTGCTGATGGAACATGGTAATGTTCATTTTCTTTTGTATTATTCACAACATCATTACGAAGCCCTAAAGCAACAAAAACTTTATGGGCAACATCTGGTCGATCTGTTAAAATACCTTTAGCACCTAATCCAATTGCACGTGCCATTTCAATTTCATTATTTACAGTGAAATACATAAATGGAGCATCAAGCTCATCTTGTAGGACTTTATAAAAACCATCACTTAATACATCAAATCCTTTCATAGATAAATAAGGGGCAAAAAAGTATTCAACATTATTTGGATTTAAAAAGTAATACAACCGACTTAAGCCTAATGCCCCAGCTAGACCCATACTTAACCCTTCAACTTCATCATTTTCAGTGCAATACATATTACCAACTTGTTGTCTGAAATACACTTGCATAGGATGATAAGAACAGTCAATACAAACTTGTTTATTAATGTTTGGATATTTCTTTAACTCTTGAATTAACAAGTCAACAGAAGCACTTACTTTATCCTTTAATTCAATAGAAATCCTAACATCTTTACCATAGAATTCATCTAATAATTCATTTAAAGTTGTCATAGTAATTCCTTTTCCTCTTAATGGATAAGTTTTACCATCTTCTGTAAACCAATAACCAGCATCAACTTTTTTAAGTTCAGCCAGTGTAAAGTCTTTAACTTGACCTTTAATGTTAGTTGTTCTATTCAACCAATAATCATGTAACAAAACAAATTTATTGTCTTTTGTCATTTGAATATCACATTCTAATAAATCAACGTGATACTTATAATATGAAATCTTCATTGCTTCAAGAGTATTTTCAGCGTATATCCCTCTTCCTCCTCTATGAGCCACAAGTACTGGAAAATTATTATATTCAACTTGATGATGATCCCATCCATTTTTTGGTTTAACTATTGCGTTTAATAGTAATAGTACTCCATAAATTAAAGCACTAATTATGAAAACGGATTTAATAAATGAAATATTTCTCATATAAAGTTATGAGAGTGGATTATAAGATTTAAAAAATAGGGTTTTATTTCAGAAACTGATTATAAAGTAAAATCGTTTAAAATTCCTTTTGTTAGACTCTATGCAGTTAAGAGAGAAAAAGACCTTTGTTGATACTAAACAATCAACTGATAAGAAGGTTTTTCTTTCAACCACATTATGACAAAAACCATACCTATTATATTATTGACAATATTGGAAGTTATAATATTAAAACAATTATAAACAAAATTAAAATTAAGGAAAGTATAAAAGATTTTGGTGTAGTAAATACTGTTAAAACAATTAAAAAGAATCCTCATAAATGTGTTGGTTTATTCAGTAAATTTAAATAAAGCATTCCTTGTGAATTAAAGAAAATAAAAACAATTAATGAAAGTATATTAAACATGAATCATTCTAAGTGAAATAAAATCAAAATTTTCTTTTCTTAGTTAATGCTAAATAATAAAAGATAGAATTATCCATTTGATCAACCATAACAACAAATGATTGTCAAGACAAAAAACCTCTTTTACTTAAAAAAGAAGTACTTTAAGTACAAAAAATTTAAACAATTATTTAGACTTAGATAAAATACAACTTTTGACATAGTAATACTTTTATTTATGAATGTTACTATGTAGATAAAATTACGTTATGGGTTTAGTTCATTACTAATATTTCTTTAGTTTTGGTAATATTTTTTTACTTAAACATTATTAATTTATCGTCTTTCTGTTATTAAAGAGACCAAACTACCTTGTGTAATATCCAACATAAATCAATCGTAATTAATTTATTTAATATCAGTTAATTATTTAATTTGGTTAATAAAATGTTTTTAAATCAACTTCATTTACTAGAAAACATCTTTGAGAAAGAAAACCTTAAGTTCAACTGAATTAAGAAGTTAACGCATTTTCTTTTTAATCAACTACTTTCTTTTTCTTAATCTCAGACTCTTTAACAATTACGGCTCGATTTCTTTTTTTAATCTTTTCTAATGTTGGAATAACTTTTTCATTATGTTCATTTAAAATAGTTGTTTCTACAGTATCAAAATAGTGCAAAGGATCACTTGGAAGTTCATTTAGTAATTCTTCTCTTCCTTTCCAAATGTCTTGTTCCTCAACGTTTTCACACTCCATTTATTTTCAAGAAGATCTCATAATTCATATGGTAGTTTCTCCTCCTATAAAATTGTTAATTATTGGAATTACAACTCGGCTTGCCTATTATTTGTGGATGGTAATGTCATCTTCTATATTACCTCCATATGATCTACAAACTTATCTTCTTTCAGAGAACGTATCTCCATATCTTGCTCCATTTGCCAGTTGGGACGGTGTTCATTTTTTGTCTATTGCAATGCATGGATATGTCCATGAACACCAACATGCTTTCTTCCCATTGTACCCATTAACCATTCGTTTATTTTCATTTATTTGCTCAATGTCTGGATTTAATGAAGCAAACATCTACATTGTTTTTGGTCTATTTATTTCTTTAGTATCTTTCCTTGTTAGTTTATTAACATTATATGCTATTACAAAAAATCTTATGGGGGAAGTTTATGCATTTAAAACTGGAGTTTTGTTCTGTTTTGCTCCAGCATCAGTGTTTCTTACTTCTGTTTGTTTTTATTTGTGTTATAAACATTATCTCATTGGTTCATGAAATTAGGTTTATACTGAGTCATATTATGGATGTTTCTCATTGTTGGCTTGTTATTACTTATTGTCAAAAAATAATATTCTTCTTTCTTGTGTTTTCTTTGCATTGGCATCATTTATAAGAAGTAATGGATTAATCAACATGGGTTTTGTGTTATATTATTTCATTAACACAATGGTACCTTTTTCAAGTTTCCCACATGTACAAAAACGTATTTCTGTTAAACATATAATCAACACTATATTACTGACAATATCCAACCTCGGTCCTTTTATGATTTATGTCTACTTGGCATCATCTCAATTTTGTAATTTAGACCCTCTTCCACCATATTGCAAGTCTAAATTCCCTAATGTATATTCATACAATCAATCCCGTTATTGGAATCAAGGTTTCTTAAAGTATTGGAGAGTCAAAGAAATTCCCAACTTCTTATTATGTGCACCTGCTGCAATAATTTCTCTGGTGTCAACGGTTATATATCTTAAAAAGTATTTTGAACGTCATCCACTTTTTCATTCTATTGTCAAAACTTCAGAGCCTAGTAATCCAAAGAAATTTATGTTACAAAATGATGCATTAGTTTATGTTGTTCATTTGTTTGTTCTTGTAGTTTTTGGGTTATTCTGTATGCATACTCAAGTTATCACACGATTTATTTCTGCATGTCCAGCCTTTTATTGGGGATTACTTTGGTTAACTGAACAAAAACAGTTTGGGATAATTCGTTATTTACCAATTTTCTATTCAACTTTCTTTACTTTCTTTGGTGGAGTGATGTTTGGATCATTTTATCCATGGACATAAGTGAATAACATGAATCAATGATTATCTTGTTTATGAAATTGTTGTGTTATTTTTTATGAAAAGAAAGAAGAAGATTTTTTATATCTTTTTTTGATTCGTCATTGATTAAACTACTTTATTATAATGAAATTAAAAGAAATAATAAAACAAAAAAAGGAAAAAACTAAAAATACTTTATTTATGCAACAAATTAAGTATCCCACAACTATATCATTATTATCTTATGGAACATTTGGGAAACCTATTAATGGGTATGTAGAAATTAATATTCCTTTTCCAACCTTTATTAAAAAAATTCAATTGGTTGTTGTTTCATGTTTTACTGGTGTAAAACTTACTGGAGTAACACCTCCTCCAGTACCTCCTTTAACAGTTGATTCTAATATCGGTCAATGGCAACGTTTAACAAGTTATCTTTCACCAGTCTTAACTGTGGATTGTACAGAAGATATTGTATGTGAAAGGTCTAATTTAAATACATCGTTTATAAAGGAACTTCCTCCAGGAATTCATCGTTTTCCATTTTCTTTTATTTTACCTCAAACACATTGTCCAATGTTAGTACTACCAAATGAAGAAAGAATTAGATTTGTATATGAAATTAAAGCGGTTATATATACTAAAGTAAGTTCATTTGACTCAGATTATTTTCCATTGCCAATGTTATTTCATACAGTTCCTCCTTTACAACTATCTCCTTCAAAAGTTGAAACCCCTTTTGGTAAAGACTCTAAGGTTACTTTAACTATACCAAAAACAACTTATTTCACTGGAGAACGAATGGACATTACAATGACTTTAAGTCTTGGTAAACCAATTTATCGAGCACATTTAAGTTTAGTTGCAATGTATACCGCTCCTGGATGCATTCATAGAATAACCTTAAATTCAACTGTTATTCCACTAGGACCAGAGCCAAAGAGATTTTTGATTGATATCTTACCCTCAGTCCCACCAACAATTGTAACTCAATTCTTTAAGTTTGAACACTTTATATTGATTGAAATATTTAATCAAATTGGTGCACCTTTAAAAATATTTATTCCAGTTACTATTATTACTTCACAAGACAATAACATAAGATCATATTATGCAAAAGTTTGTGGTGTTATATTACCATCTACTCCTTATTTTGGTATTCATAATAGACCACCACCTCCTTTCCCATCTTCTATTATTGATGGACTACAAGAAGGTGTTACTGAATTTTCAGGAAATGTTTGGTTAAATCATATAAAACGTTGTTTACAAAGAACTAAAGATGGAGATCCAATGGATGAGGTGTATCCATTATTTACTAATTCTATGTTACCAGAAGGATGGATTACTGGAAATAGTCATAATGAAACATATTATATTGATGTTATACATAAAACAACGTCATGGAAAGATCCACGAGATATTAATATGATTAAACCACAACATGTTTTGGCTCATTCAAAGGGTGTATTAAACATTTTACCAATTAATGCAGAAGGATTACCTTGTTGTAGCAAGAAACAACCTGAAGTAGTTGTGATGGTTTTTACCGATTTTCAAAGAGTTTTAAGAACTGAACCAGCAAAAGGTTCTGATCCAACATTTACTCCAAAAACACTTGCAGTTGAATTAGACGATTTAAGAGAAAATGTTAATGTATTTTTATATGTCAAAGGAAATCCTGATATTTATCTTGGTAATATTAATATTGATTTAACTTTATTACCATTCCCTTCAATTATTGAAGACTGGTTTTATTTACAACCTATCCCATTTACTGATAATGTCACAAGTGGAAGAATAAAACTAAGAATTGCATATCTTGAACATCCTATGGCATTGACTGAAGTCAATCCAATGATACTTACACATGTTTTAACAAGTCTTAATTCTCCTTTTTTCCCAATGACACCAAAGTATGAAGAAGAAGTTGACAAACAACTTAAACGAATGGAAAATGGGTCAATTAGAATGATTAAGAAAGAAGGAAACAGAATTGTTCTAACATGGGAAAGAAATACTGGAGGACTTGTTGAGACTAAATACGAAAATATAAATAAAGGAAGCTTTAAAGAAAGAGTTGGTCAGTTGTTCACAGGAAAGAAAAAAGATTCACAAGAAGAAATACCTTTAATTGATGTTCCTTCACTAAATGGAAATTGTGCTGAGGATTTTGAAAAGGGAAATGATTTGTTTGAAACAGGGTATGTTGATATGGGAAAAGTTACAGAAAGTATTATTAATTCTAAAGATGAGGAATTAAAATTAAAGGTTTCTACAAATACTTCTAATTTAAATGATTCTAAGGAACCTATGATATCTCCTGTTATTGTTAACAACAATGATGAAGTAAAAGAAATTAAAACTGTAAGCCAAATTAATAACCAAGAAATAATGACATACCCTATTCTTGATGACATTGATAAAGGCTGTCAAGACAATAATAATGAAGAAATACAAAAAGGACCAATTGTCCAAGAAAATTTATTAGATTTAAATGAAGTAAGACCAGATCCATTAAAGGGTCTTTTTCCAACAAAAAAATAACAAAATTATTTTTTAATTCAGTTTTTTGGTTATTAAATAAGAATAACAAAAAAGAAAACATAAAAAGAAACTTAAAATTAATAAATTATATTTGAAAAGATGGTGATTGTTTTTTTTATTATTTGTTTTGTTTTGAGTGTTAAAAGTCATATTAATGAAGACTTTATAATATTGGTACATGTTGATGGATATTTATCAATGCATGAATCTAAAAATGGAGAATTAATGTGGGTAAGTCAACAACTTGATCCATTTATTAAAACAAATTCAGAAGAAATTTTATTACCATCGATCGATTCTTCACATTCATTATTTGAATTTGATTCATTAAATGGTGAATTTAAAAAATTTAGTTATTCTATTAATGACATTTTTGATAATAGTCCATTTGTTTTATACAATAAAGAATATATCACTTATCGATTTATTCATCAATATAGATTTGATTTAAATTCAGGAATGATTTGTAAAGATAATTGTAGTTCATACTTGGGAATTAAAGATATGTTACCATTTGTAGTTACACAATATCAAATTTCATCAATTGAAAGAGATGGACCAGAGTTTGTTTTTATAAATTAATTAAATATTAATAAGTTATTAATAATTAGTAATAAATTTACAATATCATTATATGATTTAGAAGTACCAAAGAATAATAGTAACGTTCTTCGATTTGATATTAATACACAACAATTAGAATTATACGATCCAATTCAATTTTTAACTTTATGGAGTAAATCTATCAGTTTTATTCCAATGAAAGCCTTTATTTATCATCGTAGAAGTAATTTTTTGGAAGTAATAAATATTCAATATTCATCAATACAAAATCAACAAATTTATTTAGGAAATTTTGTTTATGATAATCAACAACAAGTTTATTCTATTGTTCCAGATTATCTTAATGTTTGTTTTGATACAGAAAATGAAGTTAAAAATCAAAAGAATATGTATAGAAAAAATAGAATGAGATTTGGTGCACTTTATATTGATTCATTAGAACAAGTAAATGATCAAACAATAACTTCTAAAGAATTTAAATCAATAACAAAAGATGAATTTAATAAATATGAGGATATACAAAGTTATATTAAAGAATTAAAACAAAACTCTACAAAAATGAAAAAAAAAGAAGATGTTCAACAAATTAATGAAACAACATTTATATTAATTCTTTCATTAATCACTGTGGTATTAGGACTCATTGTTGTTGTAATGATTGTTTATATTAATTATATTCAAAAAGGAATTAATTCATCTTCTCTTTCAGTTCATATGACACCAACTAAATATATTCCTAAAGACATGAATTATATTGGAGAACAATTCAGTTGTTCTAAAAAAGTATTAGGACATGGTAGTTTAGGAACAATTGTCTTTGAAGGAACAGCAAATGGAAGAAAAGTGGCAGTAAAAAGAATGGTAAAAGAATTTTATACATTTGCAGATAATGAAATGAAGATTATTAATATGACAGATGAAAAGCCTCATCTTGTTCGTTATTATGGTAGTTTTGAAGATGATAATTTTGTGTATTTGGCTATTACATTTTGTCCATATACTCTTGATGATTATTTAATTAAAATAGAAGAAATAGAAAATGAAAAAATTGATGAAGAAACAAAAGAAAATAATAGTTCCAAAAGACTAATGAAATTAAATAAAGAACGTGTTAGATTAATGAAAGAATGTGCAATTGGAGTTTATTATTTACATTCATTAGGAATTGTACATCGAGATATTAAACCATTAAATGTTTTAATTGATGAGAATAGAGGGATTAGAATAACTGATTTTGGATTAGCAAAAAAATTAGACCCATCTACATCATCCTTTAGTAATTCTACTACTAAAGGAAGTATTGGATGGCAAGCACCAGAAATGTTAGATGATAGTTGTCCAAGATTATCAAAAGCAGTTGATATATTTACATTAGGATGTTTATTTTATTATATTGCAACAAGAAAACATCCATATGGAAATTCTCTTGTAAGACAAAATAATATTTTAAAAGGAATTTGTATTAAAACAGAGTGTAGTTTTGACAATTTATATCAAAGTGAATTTATTGCATGTTTTAATGGAATGAATAAAAAAAGTCCAAATGAAAGAATTACTATTGAAGAAGTACTTAGTCATCCATTATTTTGGAGTTGTAAAAAACGATTAGAATTTATTCAAAAAGTTTCTGATATTATTATTGCTGATAAAAATTATACTATTTCTAAAAGACTTGATAGTGCTGGTGTTGCTATTCAATGGGATAAAGAACTTTCTCCAATTATTTTACAAACAATAAATAAATATCGTATTTATGATTTTAATCATACAATTGATCTTCTTCGTGTAATTAGAAATGAGTCTCATCATTATTATACTCTTCCTCAAGAAGAAAAAGATTTATATGGTACTTTCCCTGATGGGTTTTATAAATATTTCCATTTTAAATTTCCTTCTTTATTTACTGTATTATATTCATTTGTAAAAGAATTTTATTCTCATAGTGATGCATTATCAGAGTTTTTTACTCCAGATCTTTAATTTTAAGTTCTGTTTAAATACTTCAAAATTTTCTTTTTTTTTAATGATTTAAAATAAAAACATTTTCTGAGAGTTGTTTATTTAATAATGTGTTTTTAATAAAATATTCTTCTTCAAAAGGAATAGAACTAAAAAAGAACTTTAAATAATTTGAGTTAGGATGTTTGATTTGAGAACAGTACTTCCAAACTTCTATTGTCAACATATGCCTTCATACAATAAACCACATCAAATACCAGTTGCTTTTATGTCATTTGAAATAATACATTCAATGTTTCTTGATCAAACAGCAAAAATATGTGATATTGTTAAGCCACCAACAAACCAATTAACATATGAAAAAGTTATAAAACAATTAGAAACATTAAAATATAATTTTAAAGAAGAAAGAGAAAGAACTTTATGGGGAGATATTCATCTATGTGAAATAAAAAATTTATTATTAAGTCTTCGATGGAGATTATTTTTAAAATGTTTACCAGAGAATAGTTCATTATGGACATCTGTTATAAATGAAGAAAGAAAAAAATATGAAGATCTTTGTATTAATTATTCAAATGAACTTATTTATTTAAGTAATTCTAATCCATTAGATTCATATTCAAATGAAGCAAATCTTATTGCACCAGATCCAAATGAAAGTGCTGGTATTGATATAGAAAAAGTAAAAGTGTCATGGGATATTAAAAAAGATATTAGAAGAACTAAATTAGAAAAAATATTTCAAACATGTGAAAATAGACAAATGTTACATCGTATTTTATTTCTTTTTGCTGTTAAACATCCTGAACTTAATTATACTCAAGGTATGAATGAACTAATTGCTGTAATTTTTAATGTAACTATTATAGATTATTCAAAAATATCAAAATTACTTGAACAGCAAAAAAATGTACAAACAGATACACTTTTAAGACAATTATTCTCTCCTCAATATCTTGAACATGATGTTTATTGTCTTTTTGAACATTTAATGGACATTGTAAATATATGGTATGAAAGTACTGAAAATCATTCTAATACAATATTATTTCGTTGTGAACAAATAGCAGAAATATTGAGAGTTAAAGACCCTCATATTTATCAAATGTTTTCTGCTCTTGGAGTTGAACCACAATTATTCTTATTAAGATGGGTTAGAATTCTTTTTTGTCAAATGTTTAATACTAATGAATTATATTATATTTGGGATATTTTATTTGCTCATAATAATCCATTGTCTCTTTTAAATTATCTTTGTGTTGTATTAATGTTATTACCAAGAAGTAAAATTTGTAGTGGGGATGGAGTAAATGTTTTTAATATCTTTTTTAATTACCCCAATGATTTCTCTATTTATTTTATTACTCATTGTGCTATTATTACTGAAAGAGAAAAAGATCGTCCTATTTTTGAAGTTCTTTTCCCTATTCAATCCTTCAAAAAAGATAAAAGGAAAACTAAATCTCCTTCTTTACAACAAATTCAAAAGGAATTAACTTTTAACACATCTAATACTCTTGACACAGATTCAATGTATATGCAATTAGTATTTATTGAAGACTCTTTAGAAAAGGCTATGGAGTTTCTTCCTTCTTCTTCAAAAGAAAGGCAATTAGTTTCTCAAGGATTAAAAGAAGTTATTAAAATGAAAATAGATGTGAAATTAGCACAAACTTTCCCTAAAAGAAGGGATTATTAAATAATTTGAATTTATCAAATTAAAATCATTATTTACTTATTGATTATAAAAATATCTTAAAATTGATTTGATTAATATTTTTTTTATTTCATCATTCTTTTTTTTTCTTTTAAAATTCTTATTTATTGAATTATCAAGAAATTCAAAACAAATAATAGTATTGCTTTTAATCCAATAATCTATAACTTGTATTTTTGATGAAAGTGAAAGTATAAACTAAGTTATATTTATTATACTATTTATTTTTTATTTCCTTATTACTAATAGTTGTATAATTGAATATTTTATTTTTATTTTATTATTTAAATTAAATTCTATTGTTTTGAAACAGTAAATGTTGAAATTAAATAGATGAAAATAGAAAGCAAATGAATCAAAAAAAAAGAAAATGAATAAATAATACTGATAAAATGAAGTTGAATAAATGATAAAATGATTGAAATAGTATTTATGTTTATTTATTAAATAACTTTATTATATAATGATAATATCATTTCATTCTTTAATAGAATTGAACAATAATGATATAATCAAAAATGAAAATAACATCTAAAGAACATCATGACTATTTAATTTATATAAATAAATAATTAAGAATGATTGAAGAATGAATAAAAAAGAAAGAAATAATGATAACATTGACTTTGAAGTTGTTAGAAAATTTTTAGAATAAATAAAAAGCAATTAATAAATATATAGAAATTTAAAATATAATAAATAAAAAATAAATAAAAATTAGTTAGTTAATTGTTAATCGAATTTTCATCTATTCTTT